GCAGGGGAGTTGGACTAGATGATCTCTACGGTCCCGTCCAACTCTAAAAATTCAGTGAAATTCGGTGAAATTAAGCTTTATGGGTACGCTTTTCCTGAGCGAGTGATTGTATTAAATGGGACTAAGATACACCCACACAGAGTTAATTAGTGACAAAGCTGCTCGTAGACAAGCTTTTAGTCAGACACATCATTCTGCTGCAGCTGAGAGACTGAGACAACAGCTCCCCTCCAGAAAAACCACAGACGGGGCTGCGTCTCTACCCACCCATCTGAAACAATCTGATAGTAAAAATAAAAAATTAACCAAGAAGCAGTTTTAAGCTAAATTAGACCATTTTGACAGAGCACAGATAAAATTCTGTCCCCCGTACAGTCAGGGAGAAAGCTGCCATCCTACCTTTCACAGGAGGCCTCTATTCGAGTGACCAAAATAATTTCCACTGCAGACATATTCACTTGCATCCAAAATAGGTTTAAAAAAAAAAAAAACCTGCAAATTTCTACAGGTGGGGAGCGTGTGTGTCACACAAAGCCAAGCTTTTCCATGTGGTGCACGTCAGAGACACTGCAGAAGTAGCAGGAGTTGTGTCCTTGAGTTCTGCTCCTCCCTGACCTGCTGAACAGTGGCTAGATCTGAAGCATTAAGGTTTACCTTAAATATTACATGCCAAGATATATTTTGGCTCTCCACTAAGCCAGTCTACAACATCAGCAGCTAAATGTAGCTTATAAATTATTCTTTAACTAGGCTTTTTGACAGAATTTACCATTTTCCATAGTCTATTAAATAAACAGATAGCTAAAGGGGAACAAGGATTCTTTTGAATAAATTTTGGACTAGATGATCTCTACGGTCCCGTCCAACTCTAAAAATTCAGTGAAATTCGGTGAAATTAAGCTTTATGGGTACGCTTTTCCTGAGCGAGTGATTGTATTAAATGGGACTAAGATACACCCACACAGAGTTAATTAGTGACAAAGCTGCTCGTAGACAAGCTTTTAGTCAGACACATCATTCTGCTGCAGCTGAGAGACTGAGACAACAGCTCCCCTCCAGAAAAACCACAGACGGGGCTGCGTCTCTACCCACCCATCTGAAACAATCTGATAGTAAAAAAAAATTAACCAAGAAGCAGTTTTAAGCTAAATTAGACCATTTTGACAGAGCACAGATAAAATTCTGTCCCCCGTACAGTCAGGGAGAAAGCTGCCATCCTACCTTTCACAGGAGGCCTCTATTCGAGTGACCAAAATAATTTCCACTGCAGACATATTCACTTGCATCCAAAATAGGTTTAAAAAAAAAAAAAACCTGCAAATTTCTACAGGTGGGGAGCGTGTGTGTCACACAGAGCCAAGCTTTTCCACGTGGTGCACGTCAGAGACACTGCAGAAGTAGCAGCAGGACTTGTGTCCTTGTGTTCTGCTCCTCCCTGACCTGCTGAACAGTGGCTAGATCTGAAGCATTAAGGTTTACCTTAAATATTATTATGTGCCAGGATATATTTTGGCTCTTCACTAAGCCAATCTACAAGATCAGCAGCTAAATGTAGCTTATAAATTATTCTTTAACGAGGCTTTTTGACAGAGTTTACCATTTTCCATAGTCTATTAAATAAACAGATAGCTAAAGGGGAGCAAGGATTCCTTTGAATAAATTTTGCTGGATCTACCAAAAAAATAATAAACCCCAAACTTCCATATTTTATCCTTCAATTGGAAAAGGATGTGATAAGAAATACAATTAGCAGGTGTTGTCTTTCAGCACAGCTGCTATTAGATTACAAAAGCAACGAGCAGGTATTAAATTTCTCCACT